AAGCATACATATACCAACAAATTAATGTAGGTCCTAAATTTTGTGCTATAACTTTTGATATGTGGACAGACAAATATAGACGGCGAAATTATATCACCTTTACTTTTCACGAAATAGATAATAATTTTAATATTGTATTTTATACATTGGCGACACATCATGTCACCCAAAAACATACCGCTGAAACTATTCTTTCCGAAATAGAAAAAGTTGAAAATGAATTTGATTTAGGGTCCAAGAAAATTCAAATGGTTACGGATGCAGGACCCAATGTAAAGAAAAGTGTTCTTCTAGGAGAATATGACCATCATTTATGTTTGGGGCATGGATTACATAATCTAGTGACAGTCGATGGAATAAAAAAAGTTAATAAAATTGAAAATCTCATTAAAAAAGTTAGAGAAGTTATAGTTGCCTTAAGATTCAAAACAGCGGATTTTGAAAATATAAACGATATAGAAAATAGAAAATGTTTTGAATCGATATCATATACATCGGATATTTTAGATTTGGATGATAATGATCCTTTTTATGAAGATCGTTTGAGGTATGATGATGATAGTGAAAATCAAAAATCATATGAGAAAAAACATAAAACCTTAAAATTAAATGTGCCTACACGTTGGCATAGTATTTTAATAATGCTGGAAAGTGTGACTGGCAATAACAAAAATCCTATAAATATTCTATTAAATAGAATGGAGAAACCGGATCTCAAATTATTTAACTCCGATTGGGACTTGGTGTATGAACTTTTTAATTTTCTTAAAACCTTCAAACAAACTGTTGAATTTTTATCTGTCCAAAAGGAGTTACTATAAATTTAGCCTTATTATTTCGTAGTGAAATTAAAAATCATTTAATTGTAAAAGAAAATGATAGTCCACCCATAGCATCCCTTAAACAAAATATGCTTACTAAATTTGATCATAGATTTCCAATAACCGATCTTCAGGTAGTATTTTAAAATACATATTAATTATTTTTTATACATTATTCTTTCTTTTATTTTTTTTACTTAGGTGTTAGGAGCACTTTTGGATCCTGGTTTTCAATCAATAAACATAGTAAATGAATATTTAAAGGAAAAAAATATTACTCCGGTTGAATTTTTATGTCAACACGCTACCTCTCTACGGTCTTACACGGACGAATTAAACGAATGTAAAACGACGGAAGTTGCTTTAAAACTCGATTATCTTAAGTCATTGGCTACGAAGCATTCATCTATTCAAAACAATAACCTGAAACAACAACACTATTTAACTAGTTTAGAAAAAGAGTGTTATTCATTATTTTCGCCTTATAATTTGGAGATAAAAGATGTCTTAGATTTTTGGAAGATAAGAGCATTGGATCTTCCTAAACTTTCAATATTAGCTAGAAAGGTCCTGTGCGTTCCAGCTACAAGCACACCCAGCGAGCGTGTATTTTCTATAGCTGTCACTATGAACTCTAAAAGATCATTATTATGTCCTTTAAATCTTAATAAAATAATATTTATTCATGATAATTATAACTTAATAAAATCATTAAATTATAGTTTTATACATAATAAAGTATAAATTTTATTTTAAAAGTGTTTCCAATGAATTTATAAATTTACTTAAAAAAATTTAAGTTAGAAAAATATTTGACGCCGCCGCGCCGCTGCCGATTTTTGTGGCGGCGTCTAAATCGATTCGCCGCCGCCAGCCGATCATTTTAAAAAAAGAAACGCCGCCGCCGAAAATGCTGTCGGCGCACATGTCTAACTATACTCCTTATTTAATAATTAGTAAATATCCAAAATTATTGAAGATTCCCAGATTATATTTCTTCTCATTAAATGATCAATCCCAATGGAGTGACCCAAGTAACATTCCATTACCGATTGATGAATGTTTCATACTAAGTTTTTTTATTTTGAAAGAAATATTGAAATGCACACATAAACCTTTATTGCAGGCAGTTAGTAATGATTTGGTTATGGTAACCAAACTAATACAACACACAAAAAAAAATGAAACACAGACTAGAAGTTAATTTTAATTTACTATTTCTATTAATAATTTTAAAATTTAGGTAATGTAGAAAATATTTTTTAAAAATTACATTACATGTTAAAATTTGTTAACCTTATAAATAGCTTATTTTTAATAATAATAAAGTATTTTGTTAAAATTTTAAATGATTTATTATATTCTTAATTGATATATGGGATGGGACTGATTCATTATTAAAATCAATCATATATGATCAAATTATTTTACGTGTAAATTTAAAATATTAAGGTAAAAAAAATAAATAAAAAGGTTTAAAATTTAGAGAAAAAATTTAGTATTTTTATTATTGTTAATAGACATATCTCTTTTTAATTTCCATTTGTCAGAATAAAATTATCGATAAACAATCATAATAAAATCAATTACTGCATTTAAAAAGAATATAATTCAAGGCAAAAACTGCTCCTCCCCCCAAATAAATCATTATACCAAAAATGAATATATCTCAAAATCAATACATTCTCTCAAAAATGACTTCTACCTAGTGTTGTCTGTTGTACGGCTCGATTTTTAAAAACGACTAACTCAATGTTTTACTCAGAAAAATATAATCACAGCAATATTCACAATTCCTCAAACGATTTATTTATAAAGTAGATTTGAAATTCTGATCAAATCAAAATATGTTTAAAAATCTTTTTGAACTTCAAACATTTTTTCTGCTTAAATTTTTGGAGAAGAAATTACTAATAAATTGTAAAAAAAAAAATAAAAGTTATTTATAACTTTATAGCACATAAAATAATTTTTTATTATAAAAAACATCAAATTTATCTATATATATAATCACCGTAATCAAGAAATGAACGTTTTTGTATATTCCTTAATGTTAATTTTTATTTTTCTCATCAACTTTCCTATCTTCTTAATGTTAATTTTTATTTTTCTCATCAACTTTCCTATCTTCTTAATGTTAATTTTTATTTTTCCTATCAACTTTCCTATCTTCTTAATGTTAAATAAATCGATGGAGACTATATCTTTCTAATGTTAAATTTTAAGAAAATTTTTTGTATATAACGGGATTCGAACCCATGACTTAACGTTTTAAAGGCAAGCGTTTTTCCCGCTCAGCCACCTTCTATATTAAATTTTGTAATATTATCTTTCTTATATACGCTATTATTTTGCTGTTATTTTTTATTTTTATTGGCTTATTAATCTTTATTTTTATTGGTTTATTAAGGTTTTATTTCATAGGTTTTAATTTATTTTCTTTCTATTTTATTGGTTTAAATTTATTTTCTTTGTTTTATTAATTTATAATCAACCATTTTTAATTAACGATTTTTTTTTAATTAACGATTTTTAAGAAGATCACAACCTTTTTTATATTTTTAAGAAGATAAAGTTATTTCTTACCCTGTCAAGTAAAATTATTATATAAATAAAATTTAATATTATATATATAGATTATCATGGAAAATATAAACATTTATACAAACCAACAATTTGTTCAAATTCTTTAGTAACAAGTGAAATCCAACTACCTTTTATATTAAAACGTCGTCAATTTCCTAAATCAGTGTCAACCCTTCGATCATGTAGGTTTATATTACCTGTTTTCTAATTCAGTGTCAACCCTTTGATCATGTAGGTTTATATTACCTGTTTTATACCATGGAAAACTTAATGTCGGGTTAAGCAAATATACCTCTCAAAAAGTACTAAAGTTATGATTGTACCTACAAAATATGCTCAAATAATTAAAGTAAGTATTTATTAAAATATCAATTAACCATTTTTAAATTTTTAAGAAGATAAATTTCTTTAACTTAAAACATAATTTATATTTATTTATGTTCTTCTCACAATATCTCATGTCCATATTTTTATATGAACGAGGTAAATATTAAACTTTTTTTAAAAACTCATTTTTAAAAATTTGATAATTTATTTTTTTCCCCCTGAAGATAATTTCAATAAATTTGAGGGTTGATTAATTATTTTTTTAAATAAGTTAGATGTCTACATGATCGAATAATAGTAATAACAAACGATGGGAGAATAGGAAATTGACGCATTTTAATTTAAAAGGTTGGATTTTACTTGATACTAAATTGGTATTCCAGAAATCACATATTAATGGTGAGAGTAAAGGTTCAATTGGCTAAATATAATTTAAATTTATTTGTTAAATTTAAAATGTAATATGTACTGTAGTGAATTTGATTGGCATATTGTGGCATAGTTACATAGTTTAAGTATTTGAGTATTTTAATTCCATAAATTAAATAGGTATATAGTAGAGTCCATTTGACTTTAAATAATAATGTGTGAAATATTATAATTAAAATAATTTAGTTTATTTCTAAAGATAAATCTTATACTTGAGAGAGTAAGATTGATGGGAATCATAAATTTTTCCACTATTATATGTTTTTTTTATATATTTATTTTTTGATTGGTTAAATAAAATATATCTATTTTTTTAGTTGATATTTTAATAATTACTTGGGAGTTATTTGAGCATTTTAATTCCAATAAATTTGAAGGTTAATTAAGATACAAAAAAAATTTTCCTGTTAATAGTTCATGATTTTTTTATTCCCGTCATTCTTGATCAACTAGTCATAATATAATCATTTAAATTATATTTCATAATATTATAATATAAAAAATATTAAATCTAATTTGTTGCTAAATATAAAATATTATTAAAATTTAGTATAAAAATATAAATAAAATAAATATGAATTAAAAATGTTAGGCATATCTTACACGCTGACGGAAGATTAACCGATGCAAAATTTTTGACCATTATTATTTTAAGTGGAAATTTGATTAAAAAGAATATTTTTTCATGAAGTTTTTCCCGGGGTTATTTTCATCTGGATGTATATATAATTCAGGATGTAATGGGTAATCGCGATACAAGAAATTTAAATGGGAATTAAATGATTACTAATTCTTTTAAATTATCTCATTTTCAGTTTATAAAAATTTTTTCAAAAATGATTCTGCTGAGGATCGAACTCAGGACCTTTTGCGTGTAAAGCAAACGTGATAACCGCTACACTACAGAACCTATATATAGTAAATAAAATATTTAATCTATAAATTATTGCCAAAAAAGTAAAGATTTGTAAATAAAACCTCGACTCTATCGTAAGCGCTATTAGTTCAAAATCCATTGCCAAGCGATACAATAGTGCGCACGCATTTGCGTTTCGCCGTACTTTCTTAATATAAACGTAACGCTTTCTTTATTTAAATTGAGGCGGCGTTAATTATTTATAAATTTTGTAAAAAAAAATGGAGTTTATCAGCATGGATCAGAAAAGGATGTTAGCATTATATTTATTGACAAAACATAAAAGATGGAGGAAAAGTAGAAGAAAAGCATCTCAAATATATATTAAAAGAAATTACTCTATGAGTATGTTACACTTAATTATCCTATATTTATTCATAAAATATATTTAATAACTAGTATGTCCTTTTCACAATTATAGTTCAAGGATATCCAAATTATATGTTGCATGCAGTTAAATCAAGCAATTTGGAATGCTGCCAAAAATATTTACTTGCCAAAGCCTTCAAAAGATTGGGAAAAAGTACATTATATTTATATATTCTAATAATTATTTAGATTTCCCAGGAGTTCCTGATCTATTCAGGGTTCCCCAATTGTATTGGTGCCTTGGATGGGAAACATATCTGTATAAAATGATTTCAATTTTTTTGTTACAAACATATATTCACAATAGTTTTGTGCCTTAACAGACATAAATAGAAAATTTGTTACATAATATAATAATAAGCAATGAAGGAATAGGTGCTGATGTTGATGGCACAGGTACAACAAATATTTTAGCACTTTATATTTTCTTTATATGTAAAAGATACAATGCCGAATATGACCACTAGATTGAATCAATAATTTTAAGAGACAAATTTCAGGCTTAATTATTTTTTTATATATCATTGTTATAAATAATGTTAATTATATCAAATATGTGATTGATTTTTGTTATTAATTAGAATATTACCTAATAAATAAATTTATATGATAAAATAGAATTGTGTTTAAATTTATAAATCTTTATTTTGATCACCTTATAATTTAAAATCCCAGAATTTATTTGACAAAAAAAATTAATAAAAAACTGAAGTTAATGAGTTATTTATTAATGATATTATAATTTCTATATTATAAAAGCACTTAAATACTTTTTTTATGGAATTAAGTATTTATATTTAAATAAATCTAATTTAATGTAATTTTTCCATTTTTATTAATAAATTTGGACACTATTAATAAATTTAAACTTTATGAATATTTATTTTAACTACGAAAAGAAAAAAATATAAATACAATAAAATCATATATATATCCAAATTTATACAATATTTCAAGAGCAATTTGACATTTTTTATTGATTGTTCTATTGGTTGTATGTAATTTTAATTGTAATGGAATAGAAGATTTTCATTACTTCCGATTTAAGATATTGGTTAGTTACACTAAAACCATATAGCCCTTCCTTCTTCCATTGAAAGTAGAAATAATCTTGGTAAAATATAAGCTTTTTAGATGATTATAAATACCTATTTGCAGGTGGCTTCTTATTTATAAGAATCAATAATTTTTCATTTGGCTTTGGGGTGAAATAACATTCTTAATACTCTCACTAGTATCAAAAACTATTAGTTGGCCTATCAGCAATTGTAAGTTCCATAAATTTTATATACTCCAACCATTTGTACGATGTCTATCAATTCATATTTATAAATATATCATATTTCTTCCATTTTTGAAGTAATATCCATTTTTATCATATCAAAATCTATTATTTATTATAATAAAAAATTTAAAAAAAACGTGATACGTGATAAAAGCGTTTTCTCATCCTGGTTGTGGATATAACAGCCTCAAAAATCCATCAAAATGGATAGTTAATTAAGGGGGAGAAAATGAGGAGCTATTCACAAGTTTGTGGTAGTGTTGTTAAACAGCTCGTTTTGAGCCGATTTTTAAAAACGGCTAACTCAATATTTCATTCAGAAAATTATTACGCAAGCCTGAAGATTTTGCTCACAGTAGGAACAAAGGTCTAGGCATATATTATCGAAATCTCGAGGCATAGGTAATATTTTTCTAGCTAAAATATTGAGTTAGCCGTTTATAAAAATCGGCTCAAAATGAGCCGTTTAACAACACTAGTTTGTGGGCAAGCCGGACGTACTTGTAAGCACAACAGTCCGAGTACTGTTGTTTAAACGTCTATAGGCTAATAATAAAAAGAATTGGGCAAAAATAAGCCTATACCCAAGAACTGCAAAAATAATTTAATTACTTGTGGGAGGTGGTTGATTTTAAGTTTAACATCTTAATGATTACTATCAGGTGCGTAAGTAGGAATTTAGTCTGGGGGGGGGGGGGGTAATAAAAATTTTTAAGAAATATCATTGAGCATAAATTGATTAGGATTAATAACTTTTCTAATACACAATTTTAAATAAATGTGAATTATAAAAAAATAATATATATAAACCGGCATAAAAAAACTATAAAATAAATGTGAATTAAAAAATATTAAACGGATATAAATGGCGACATTGAAAAACTAAAAAATAAATGTGAATTATAAAATATAAAGTGAATATAACCACTATATGAATCACTTAAATGACCCAAAATAGAAATTTGAATTTTTTGAGCCTTTAAAATTTATATATAAAGTATAAAAAAAATAAATGATAGAAATATAAATTAATACACAAAATATTTCTTAGGAATAATTGTATTTTGTATGTTTTGAGCCAATTTTTATATTATCTCATCCTTGCTTGGCGTTAAATGCCTATGAATATTCAAAAGATCCAAACCATTCATTCTACTTTCAGAAGTTTTACTTCATAGGTATGTTTTTCAGAGACTTGCAGGCCCAGCCCCCGGGCCTTATTTTAATTTTTTTAAATATACTCGGACTACGCTCGTAATTTTTTAAAAAAAACACCCGGGCGGGGCCTGAAAATTTTTTTAAATAAAATATCCGGGCCGGGCTATATATTTTAAAACCAAATATTTGAATTCGCCATTATTAGCTATAAAAATCAAAAATAAATATAATTTATTTTAAAAAATTTTGGGCTGGGCCTGAATTCAAAAAAGCCGGGCCTGAAAATTTTTTAAAAAAAATCCCGGGACGGTACAAAAAATTTTTTTAAAAAAATTATGGACCGTCCCTGCAAATAATACATCTGCAGGGATCTGTTATTCTTCTTAAAAAAGAGAATGTCTCATTAGTTTACTAATGGGAAGAGTTGCTTATATATATATATCCATTTTAATACATTGATAATATAATCTAAAATGTGTTTGAAATAATAAAAAGCATCCATAGCATTTTTGGGACTGTAACTAACAACCATAGTTAATCTTTTAATCATAGTTATTCAGCTAATAATGCATCATAAGATACTTCAACATCTTCGTGATAAAAATTTCAAAATATATTTTTTTTTTCTATCACCATCTGAAAAAGTTGGGAAGGCTTTTGTGGAAGTAATATCTACGGATTTGTAAGTGCTGTATGATGAATTAAAAACCATTCTATTTGGGTTATAAATGTATCTAAAAGATGGGACATTTGTTTTATAATACTTTTATACTGATCCTATATTAATGTTTTGATGATGAGCTTGCTTGCTGCAAATCGAGGTGGACAAATATTAAACACGTATAGCTCTGCTTTTGACTCAACAATAACATATAAAGTATGAAATTCTTTATAAACATTAGATCTAATTTCCTTAAGTTCTAATAAAATGCTCTCCGCTATTCAAAATAGTTTTATAATTAAATAATACATTCTAATGAGAAAAAAAATGGAATAAGTATTGAATCCAATAATTTTGTTGCTTCTGAGAATATATTTCTTTCAATATTTATGATATTTCAGGAATAGCATTAATAATCGGCTCTTCTAACTCCATAAAAGCTGTTACTGCTTGATGGCAGAGACTCGATATCGTTGGACAAGCTTGCAATTTCTTTCTCATTGTTATACAAGGAGTTTCAGAGATAATTATTATTTTACTAGAAATTTAGATAAATATTACGCCATTAATATTTGAAAATAATAGGTAAATATTTGGCCAAGGAAAACTTGAAATCGAAATTAATTGATAAAATAACTTAGTGGATGTGATAAATAAATGTAATTAAATATATATGTTAGGAATAAATATTAACAAATATAAATTAATATTAACAATAATATTTTTGAAAAATATAATCCATCATCTCCATTTTTTAACTTGGGGGGGGGGGGGGGGGGTTGTCCCTCTGCCCCTTCCCTCGTTGCATACGCTCCTGATTACTATCAATAATTGAGATTATGTTCATATCAATTGAATTTTGAATTATACTCATAAAAAAAATAAACTAATCGGTTTACCGCAAATTGTTGAGCGTGAAAATTCCAGTGAATAGATAAAAAGTAGTCAGTGATGAATTTAGGACTATCCAACCGAACACCACACATCCTGTTTCAGGAAGATTTTTTTAAGGTTCCGGAAAAATAAAGCTCTATGAAGTGATAGAGAGATTTATATAGCGAAAATGTCTTTGCTATTGATAAAGATATATGAGATCAGGATCTATGACGCAGAATAGAAAACTGCTCTCTATAGTTTTAGGAAATGGAAAAGTAATTGTTGACCAGGATTATCAAATGGCATTATAGCTTGATTGTTATATGATAGTCTATGTAATATAAATGTAATTGTAAATTGAATTTAAATTGAATATAATATTAACTTTTCGTTTGTAAATTACATAACCTGAAGGATTGAATTCATGATATATATATACGTGATATTTTAAATTTAAAGTAAAAGACTCAATGGAATTAGCTCCTATTAAAGTTGAAGATTCAATGTAAGTAGTCCCTATTAAAGTTAAAGACTCAATGGAAGTAGTTCCTATTAAATTCCATATTCCAGAATTCGTCAAAGAAAAAGTAAATATTCAGGACTACTTATTTAACTTGGAGTTAATTTACAAAGTAAGAGATATTATAGATTTAAATACAAAAAAAGACCTGCTTTTAGCCTATATCGGAACAGACAATCTTATCAAAATTAAGAACTTTCACTTTCCAATAAATTTAGAGATGATAAATTATGATACTTTAATAAAAAGCTTAAATTTGGTGTTCAAGGATAGTTCGAGAATTTTCGTAAATAGGAAAAAAAATTTTACGCTAAAAAGATGCAATGAGACGATTATTGACTTTTCAATTAGGGTTAAAACTGTCTGTTCTCTTTGTAATTTTAAACCGCCTTTTGATGAACTTTTAAGAGATATATTTATCCTAGGAGTACGCTTACCTGAGTTGGACAAAGAACTTCGGTCAAAGTATATCGAAGGCAATATTACTTTTGAAGAGACCGTGCGTTTAGCGATCGCGCTGTCTTCGTTGGAAAATGAAACCCAGACTGAAGTTAATAAAATAATTAAGAATAAACCAACACAGGGTTCGAAAAATAATTATTTTAGAAATAATAATTATACAAACGTCAATAGATTCAATAATAATAAACACTTTAGTAACAATTATATTCCTAATAATAATTATAGACCTAGTATCAAACCTAACTCTATTCAAAAGAAAGTGATATGCTTTCGTTGCGGTAAGGCAAACCACATAGCGAAAGATTGTAGAACCCATGCCATACAAATGATTCTGCCACGGACACCTCGCCTGTCATTTTCAAATAAAGCAACCATCGATGCGAAGATATAAACACTTTAGTAACAATTATATTCCTAATAATAATTATAGACCTAGTATCAAACCTAACTCTATTCAAAAGAAAGTGATATGCTTTCGTTGCGGTAAGGCAAACCACATAGCGAAAGATTGTAGAACCCATGCCATACAAATGATTCTGCCACGGACACCTCTGTCATTTTCAAATAAAGCAACCATCGATGCGAAGATAAATGGGTTGCAGCTAGCTATGGAGTTTGATACCGGCGCCGCGTGTAGTGTGATTGATGAGGTCACCTGGAATCGTATTGGCAGACCACAACTATCACCGGCTTATAAATTAGTGGGATATAATCATATCCAAATCGAAGTACTAGGTAAATGTACCGTAGAAGTCAAAGTAAAAAATATTTCGAAATTTTTACTTATTTGGGTAGTTAAAGGGGAGAATTCCCTTATTTTTGGGATGCCTTTCATTAGAGAATTTGATATAAAACTACCGGAAGAAGTTAGTATTGATAAAATAAATATGAATATGAATATTTCCCTCTTTAAATACGATTGTTTCAAAATTCCCTCAAGTTTTTAAAAAAAAATTAGGTGAAATCAAACTGCAAAAGGCAGTCATCCGAATAGAAATGAACACGTTACCGATTGCATTACCAGCAAGAAGAGTTCCTTTTCTGTTGCGTCGAACCATTGAAGCTGAGTTGGACAGACTTTTAGACGAAGGCGTTATCGAGAAGGTGGATCCAACAATAACTCCAATCACTAGGGCTACGCCAACGGTTAATATCTTAAAGAAATCCGGTGCCGTACGGATATGCGGAGATTTTCGTTTAACAATCAACAAATATCTAGCGATCGATAACGATTTACTACCAACTTTCGTCGACCTAACAAATAAAATCGCGGGTGGTAAAATATTTTCAACAATAGATTTAAGAGATGCATTTTTACAATTCGGAGTTAGTCCAGAGTATAGGGACCTTTTAGTAATTTCGACACATGTCGGTTATTACCGATACCAAAGAATTCCATTTGGTTTGACTAGCGCTCCGATAATATTCCAACGCTTTATGAAAAACCTATTAAAGGGAATTCCTATGGTTAGTGTATTTTTAGACGACATAATTATTGCAGGTGAGAATAATTCCGATCACATAGTTAATTTGGAAGAAGTATTAAGAAGATTTGAGAAGGCTGGACTGACCACGACGACCGATAAAATTAAAATCGGAGAAAAGTCAGTCACTTATTTAGGTCATGTTATTGACAGTTTCGGA